ACAGCACCGAAGGGAACGTTGGGAGCTCCACAAATTTCCCTTCAGCACCAGCACCCAAGGTGTCCAGTGAATCCAGAGAGTCGTCAGATGAACTCGCCGCCAACATGACGACGTTGAAAGAGCCGCATGATACTGCGCCTCATCGAACTGAGACAACTGTACTGCCTGCGGCAACACGTGAGCCTGTGGGAAAGCAGCTCCTTAAAACCATGCCAGTGGTACAGCAAAAGAGTATTGTGCGCCCGAAGTCTATCACGAAACATCAATCTGGCCCAGTTTCCGCAACGTCGAAGGCCCCGCTTCAGGAGCCCTTCATAGTTCAGGCAAGGAAGAACACATCGGCCGGCTTACCTGCTCGGCAAGCTCAACCTGCGCCATCGCGAACAAGACAGGTCTCCTCTCTTTCGAATCAAGCGTCTCGGAGACCCCACGCCCACACTCACGATGTCGATACCGAGTCGGAAGCCGCGGATGAGAGTTTTGAAGATGAGAACCCTCAGACATGGGCAACATGGTGGCGTTCGCTATCTCTATGGTTTCAACCCCGCAGAGCACCTAATGCCGGAGACAACGCCAGCGTTAGCAGTGACAAAGACAACGAGTCATTATTACGCGATGATGCAGAGCCGGACTCGATCTCTGCATTAGAGTGGTTGTGGCAATGCTTGTCATGGTACTTCATAGCCTGCTTTTCATGGCTACATCAAGTCTATTCATCACTCCGACATGCAGTCTTTCGGGCCACGCGATTCGCGTTCCACACTTCTTTCAAGTGGGTACTGCTCGGCCTGGGTTCTTTGGCTGTCGCCATGTTTTTACACTCCGTCTTGTCTCCATCTCCTTTGGTAGACGGCATTTGGGAAAACGACAGCGAAAACACGCGGCTCCCCTTCTATTGGCATGGATGGAGTCTCTCGGACATGACTTGGAATTTGGGACAATTCGTTCCTCTCTCTCTTGCTCGTCCATCGACGCTCTTCGCATCGGAGGATGCGAGAGCATACGAGGAAAAGCTCCGCAGCTTCAGCCACGAGATGCACCATCTCAAGGCTTCCAAAGATCTACACGACGTGTCACTCACCAAGCTCGAGTCCTTACTCCCGAAGATCATCCACCTCGAGCTTGGTCAAAACGGAAAGCCACGCATTGCTTCTGAATTCTACTATGCTCTTCGCGAGTGATGAAAAAAGACATGAAGTGTTCACCTTCGAGGCGGACAAGGCCGGTTACGTTCATGTCCCCGACGCCCACTGGCAGGCAATCAAGAACAAGGCGAATAGCGAGAGCTACTTGGTCACAGAGAGCAAGACACAAGAACCAACTCTCTCACGTGCTGAAATCCAGCAGATGATCAAGTCTGACACGCCAAACGCCTGGACTGAATGGGCCAAGAGCAACAGGCAGAAAGTGGCCGATGTTGTCAAGAACCATCTGCCGTCATCCGAGTCGCCCTCGAGTGGGTCTGGCGTGTTGACCGCAGACCTGGATGACCGCATCGAGCAGGTTGCTCTACAGCATATTGCTCGACAAATCGCGGACGAGAACACCAGTCTGGTGACGCGTCGAAACTTCATGTTCCTCATCAAAGAAGAGTTCGCCAAAGATCACGGCCACATCAGTAATGAAGCGCTCGTGCTCAAGGACCAGGCAAAGGCATATGTGGAGGGTCTTCTCAGAACCAGCCTCGAAAACAACCGTGCTCTCATGGGTCTGTCTCGGGACGAAGTCCTCCATCTGGTCAACAGCCAAATCCGCAAGGTCATTGCGGATGCCGGGATCAAGGCTTTTGCGGATGGCAAGATTGCCGCCGAGTGGGATCACGACCTTCGAGAGCGGGTCAACTTTTTGAACCCCAATCTCGGCGCCGTTGTCAGCCTGGACACAACACCCACGTACAAGCTTCGAGGGTCCAGGTCGGGCGGCTTCCTCACGCAGAAGTGGAAGAACCATCCGAGCCGACGCCAGCCTGGCCCGCTCAGCCCCGCCGAGGCGCTCCTCGGATGGACAGATGCCGGGGACTGTTGGTGTGGCAGTACAACGTACAGCCACGACGGGACGCCGCAGGGTGTCGCTCTCAATGTCATTCTCGGACACCGCATCAAGCCCGAGTATCTTGTTATTGACCACATCCTGCCCGGTGCGACGCTGGCGCCGGCTGCACGACCCCGACAAATTGAACTTTGGGTGAAGATTGACGAGTGGAACAACCGGGAACTGGTGCGCGACTTTGCGGCATATACATGGCCTGGCAGCCTGGAGCAGCCATTCGGAGAGGGCTTTGTGCAGATCAGCTCGTTCGAGTATGAGAGTCAGGCGGCGTCTGGGGGTGTGTACGTGCACAAGCTGCCAGACGAGCTGAAGGGGCTCGGCGTGTCAACGGAGCACGTTATTGTGCGGCTGGTGACCAACTACGGAGATGACGAGAAGACATGCCTCTACCGTGCGAGGCTGTTTGGGGAGGCGTACGACCCACCGCTTACGGATGAGGCGTGAGGAGGGGGGCGGACTGTATGTCGACGATGTTGATGTCACGGGGACTGGACCTTAGGATGCGCCAGTTTTTTTGGTTTTTCTTGAGCGTTTCCACCCGTTTTGACGTCTTCCTCTTTAGGGCGCGCAATGATGTATCATGACTGAACCGCAGCAAAGCAAGGGCGTTTTGGGGTGGGCATGTCATACCCCCTTTTTTTTTCAACATCACTTTCTATAGATCGACAGGTGGACTTGGCTTGTGTTTTTTGTAAAAGGTTTCTTGGGTGAGAGCAAAGTGTGAGGAGATGTGGGGGTCTATGATCATATCATCTAGCCCATTGA